TGGCGGCCCCGCCCCCTTCAATAAACCACGCCCCCTTTTTCGCCCTATGGACGGCGCCTATGGGGTCTAGAAGGGGGTAAGGGGGGGCAAGATGGCGGCGCCCATGTGCCGGACAAGATGGCGGCGGTCCTTTGAGGGTCCAAGATGGCGGCCTTCAGTTGCCGTACAAGATGGCGGCGACGTGGGCAGAGGGGCAAGATGGCGGCGCCCGTTGGAGGGGGCCAAGATGGCCGCGCGCAGTCGCAGTACTACATTGTCACGTGTTATGGGTGCAAGATGGCGGCGCCCATGTGCCGTACAACATGGCGGCGCCCCTTGGAGGGTCCAAGATGGCCGCGCGCAGTCGCAGTGCTACACGTGACATGTTGCGGGGGGCAAGATGGCGGCGCCCATGTGCCGTACAACATGGCGGCGCCCCTTGGAGGGGGCCAAGATGGCGGCGCCTTGTGGAGGTAGCGCGCAGGTGCCGTACAAGATGGCGGCGACGTGGGGAGGGGGGCAAGATGGCGGCCATCAGTTTCCGTACAACATGGCGGCGCCCCATGGAGGGGGCCAAGATGGCCGCAAGCAGTCGCAGTACTAGATGTGTTATGGGGGCAAGATGGCGGCGCCCATGTTCCGTGCAACATGGCGGCGCCCCTTAGAGGGTCCAAGATGGCGGCCTTTAGTTGCCGTACAAGATGGCGGCGCGCTGGGGAGGTAGCGCGCAGGTGCCGTACAAGATGGCGACGCGCAGCCGCAGTAGAAGTCGGCGTTGCCAAGGGGAAGGGGCAAGATGGCGGCGCCCTTTTGAGGGCCCAAAATGGCGGCCTTTAGTTGCCGTACAACATGGCGGCGCCTTGGGGAGGTAGCGCGCAGGTGCCGTGCAAGATGGCGGCTCCCTTTGTCCGTACAAGATGGCGGCGCGCAGCCGCAGTAGAAGTCGGCGTTGCCAAGGGGAAGGGGCAAGATGGCGGCGCCCTGTGTCCGTACAAGATGGCGACGCGCAGCCGCAGTAGAAGATGGCGGCGCGCTGGTGCCGTACAAGATGGCGGCGCGGCCGGAAGCGGATGTGGGGCCGTAAATGGGGGGGGTTCTATAGGGGTTCTAAGGGGGGTTATTATGGGATGTTGGGCGTCTATATGGGATCTATAGGGGGTTATGGGTACAAGATGGCGGCAAGATCACGTGGCGGAAGGGGTGGGGAGGTGCTGACGTCACTTCCGGCGTGGTGTGGGGGCCGGTCCAAGATGGCGGCACGGAAGATCATGCGGCTCGGTGAGGGGGTTAAAGAACGGGGAGGGGGGGGGGAAGGCGGTATGTAAATGAGGTGAGCGCTCATTGGCCAGCGTGGAGAGGGGCGGGGCTACGCCATATAAGGCGCGGAGGAGGGGGCGGGCGGTGATTGGCTGAGACGGGGCTTGGGGGGGGGGGGGGGGGGTGTAAAAGGGAGGGGGGTAAAGGGGGGGGGGCGTGGCTTCGCTGACCACGCCCCTCCCCTTTATGGCCCCGCCCCCAGCCGAGCGCCAGGCCCAATCGCTGCGCCCCACGCCGCCCCGCCCCCAGCGCATCGGCCAATGGCGAGTGGCGTAAGCACGTGGGACTGGGGGGGGGGGGGGGGGGGGCGGAGCCAATGGGGAGGGAGGGAGGGAGGGGGGCGTGGCTTTAGGGGACCAATAGGGTTGCGCGCTCTCTGTGTGTGTGTGCCCCATAGGCAGGGCTGGGCCCCCAGCACGGCCGGGTATGGACCCCTGAGGGACCTCCCTGATTGGTCCTTTGTGGGTAAGGGGCGGGGCTTGGGGGGGGCTATGGGGGGGGTCTATGGGGGTCTATGGGGGTCTATGGGGCTCTATGGGGGGTCTATGGGGCTCTATGGGGGGTCTATGGGGGGTCTATGGGGCTCTATGGGGCTATAAGGGGGATCTATGGGGCTCTATGGGGCTATAAGGGGGATCTATGGGGCTCTGTGGGGTTCTATGGGGGTCTATGGGGCTCTATGGGGGATCTATGGGGCTCTATGGGGCTATAAGGGGGATCTATGGGGCTCTGTGGGGTTCTATGGGGGTCTATGGGGCTCTGTGGGGCGTCTATGGGGCTCTATGGGGCTATAAGGGGGATCTATGGGGCTCTATGGGGTTCTATGGGTGGTCTATGGGACTCTAAGCGTGGTCTATGGGGCTCTAAGGGCTGTCTATGGGGTTCTATGGGGCTATAGGGGGGTTCTATGGGGATCTATGGGGCTATGGGGGTGTCTGTGGGGGTTTGTGGGGCTCTATGGCGGGTCTGTGGGGGTCTATGGGGCTCTATGGGGGTCTCTATGGGGCTCTATGGGGCTCTATGGGGGTCTATGGGTCTCTATGGGGGTCTCTATGGGGCTCTATGGGGGTGTCTATGGGTCTCTATGGGGCTCTATGGGGGTCTATGGGTCTCTATGGGGGTCTCTATGGGGCTCTATGGGGGTCTCTATGGGGCTCTATGGGGGTGTCTATGGGGCTCTATGGGGCTCTATGGGGCTGACACCCCCCCCCCTTTCCAAGATGGCCGCCCGGCCCCCCTATGGAAGGGGCAGCAACGGAGGCTCCAGGAGAACGAGGCTTTGGCTGTAAGTCAATGGGGCGCTATGGGGTCCCTATGGGTCTCTATGGGTCTCTATGGGGCTCTATGGGCTCCTATGGGGTCCCTATGGGGTCTCTATGGGTCTCTATGGGGTCTCTATGGGTCCCTATGGGGTCCCTATGGGTTTCTATGGGTCCCTATGGGGTCTCTATGGGGTCTCTATGGGTCTCTATGGGGTCTCTATGGGTTCCTATGGGGTCCCTATGGGTCTCTATGGGTCTCTATGGGTTCCTATGGGGTCCCTATGGGTCTCTATGGGGTCTCTATGGCTCCCTATGGGTCTCTATGGCTCCCTATGGGTCTCTATGGGTCTCTATGGGTCTCTATGGCTCCCTATGGGTCTCTATGGCTCCCTATGGTCTCTATGTCTCTATGGCTCCCTATGGGTCTCTATGGGTCTCTATGGGTCTCTATGGGTCTCTATGGCTCCCTATGGGTCTCTATGGGGTCTCTATGGGGTCTCTATGGGTCTCTATGGGTCTCTATGGGGTCTCTATGTGTCTCTATGGGTCTCTATGGGTCTCTATGGGTCTCTATGGGTCTCTATGGGTCTCTATGGGGTCCCTATGGCTCCCTATGGGCTCTCTATGGGTCCCTATGGGTCTCTATGGGTTCCTATGGGGTCCGTATGGGGTCCCTATGGGGTCTCTATGGGGGTCTCTATGGGTCTCTATGGGGTCTCTATGGGGTCTCTATGGGTCTCTATGGGGTCCCTATGGGGTCTCTATGGGTCTCTATGGGTCTCTATGGGGTCCCTATGGGGTCTCTATGGGTCTCTATGGGTCCCTATGGGTCCCTATGGGTCTCTATGGGGTCTCTATGGGTCTCTATGGGGTCCCTATGGGGTCTCTATGGGTCTCTATGGGTCCCTATGGGTCCCTATGGGTCTCTATGGGTCTCTATGGGTCTCTATGGCTCCCTATGGGTCTCTCCCCCCAGCGCCGAGCCCTGAAGCTGAGCCAGGCCCTGGATGGAGCGGCCCAAAGCGGAGGGGGGGGCAGCAAGGAGGCGGCGGGGCCCCCCCCATTGAAGCCCAAAGGAGCCCAGTATAAACCAGTATAAACCAGTATAAACCAGTATAAACCAGTTTAAACCAGTTCAAACCAGTTCAAACCAGTATAAACCAGTATAACCCAGTATAAACCAGTATAAACCAGTATAAACCAGTTCAAACCAGTTTAAACCAGTTCAAACCAGTATAAACCAGTATAACCCAGTATAAACCAGTATAAACCAGTCCAAACCAGTTTAAACCAGTATAAACCAGTTCAAACCAGTCCAAACCAGTATAAACCAGTATAAACCAGTTCAAACCAGTATAAGCCAGTTCAAACCAGTCCAAACCAGTATAAACCAGTATAGACCAGTATGAACCAGTATGGGCCGCTATGAACCGGTTTGGAGCAATAAAGGTGGTTTATGGGGGGGTTCAAACCCGACCCCCCCCCCCCCCCCCCCCCCATGGAAATGGTTTGGTCCAATCAGTGCCTCTCACTCGCTCCCATTATAACCCCGTTACAGCCCGTGATACCCCATTATATCCCATTATAACCCTATTATATCCCATAATAACCCAATTATCCCCCATTATCCCCCATAATAACCCCATTATACCCTATAATAACACCATTACATCCCATAATCCCCCTTACATCCCATAATACCCCCCTTACATCCCATAATACCCCTTTACATCCCATAATCCCCTTTACATCCCATAATACCCCCATTCCATCCCATAATACCCCTTTACATCCCATAATCCCCCTTTACATCCCATAATACCCCCATTCCATCCCATAATCCCCCCCTCCATCCCATAATCCCCCTTTACATCCCATAATACCCCCTTTACATCCCATAATCCCCCTTTACATCCCATAATCCCCCTTTACATCCCATAATACCCCCTTTACATCCCATAATACCCCCTTTACATCCCATAATCCCCCTTTACATCCCATAATCCCCCTTTACATCCCATAATACCCCCTTTACATCCCATAATACCCCCTTTACATCCCATAATCCCCCTTTACATCCCATAATACCCCCTTTACATCCCATAATACCCCCTTTACATCCCATAATCCCCCTTTACATCCCATAATACCCCCTTTACATCCCATAATACCCCTTTACATCCCATAATCCCCCTTTACATCCCATAATACCCCCTTTACATCCATAATACCCCTTTACATCCCATAATACCCCTCTCCATCCCATAATACCCCCTTTACACCCCATAATACCCCCTTTACATCCCATAATCCCCCTTTACATCCCATAATACCCCCTTTACATCCCATAATACTCCAGGCGTTGCCTTTATTAATCATTAATTATTAATCAATAATTAACCCCTCCCCCCCCCCCAATCCCCGAGGCCCCGCCCCCTCCCGACCCGCAGGAGGGGGCGGAGCCAATCGGGTCCCGCCCCTCCCTTATATATACACCTCATTTGCATAGCCCCGCCCCCCTTTTGCATATAAACGCACCCCCCCCATATTTTCCAGCCAATCAGAGGCCTCCGCGCTGCGGATAGGCCCCGCCCCCCCGGCCTGCGGTAGGGGAGGGGTCACGTGGGGGGGAGGAGGAGGGGGCGTGGCCAAGGCTTGGCCCCGCCCTTGAGCACCATAAAAGGGGAGGGAGGGGTCACGGCCAATGGGGGGGGGAGGAGGAGGGGGGGCGTGGCCACGGGGGAGGGGCTGGCACGTGATTGGGTAAGGGCCAATGGGGGTTGCGTACCCTGGAAGGGGGCGTGGCCTCCGCCCCATATAAGGGCATGGGGCGTGGGTTTCCATATATGGAAGGGGGGGGGGGGGGGGGGGCGTGGCCGCCTCCCATGGAATGGTGATTGGGTTGATTGGAGGGGGCGTGGCCTCCTCTTCCCCTATAAGGCAATGGGGGCTGTGGCCTACCCTTCCCATATAAGGAATGGGAAGGGGGCGTGGCCTCCCCTGCCATATATGGAAAAGGAGGCGGAGTCTATAACAAATATGAAGGGGGCGTGGCCTCCTCTTCCCGTATATGGAAAGTGGGCGGAGCTTCCTCCCATAAAAAGACTGGGAAGGGGGGGCGTGACCTGCGCCCATATAAGGGAGAGGAAGGGGGGGCGTGGCCTCCCTTCCCATATATGGAAGTGGGTGGAGCTTCCTCCCATATAAGGACTATGAAGGGGTCATGGCCTCCCATATATGGAAAGGGAGGGGGCGGAGCCTCCTCCCATGGAAAGACTAGGAAGAGGGCTTGGCCTTCTCCCATATATGGAAGTGGGCGGAGCTTCCTCTCATATAAAGCATGGGAAGAGGGGGGCATGTCCTCCTATTCCCATATATGGAAGTGGGCGGAGCCTCCTCCCATAAAAAGACTGAGAAGGGGGTGTTCCTCCCGTATATGGAAAGGGGGCGGGCCCTTCTCCCATATGAGGGATAGGAAGGGAGGTGTGGCCATATATGGAAGTGGGCGGAGCTTCCTCCCATATAAAGACTGGGAAGGGAGGGGGGCGTGGCCTCCTATTCCCATATATGGAACTGGGCGGAGCTTCCTCCCATATAAGGACTATGAAGGCGGCACGGCCTCCAATATATGGAAAGTGGGTGGAGCCTCCTGCAATGTATGGAAGTGGGCGGAGCTTCCTCCCATATAAGGACTAGGAAGGGGGCGTGGCCTCCTCCTCCCATCTATGCAAGTAGGCGGAGCTTAAGCCCATATAAAGCATGGAAATGGGGGGGGGGGGGGGGGGGCATGTCCTCCTCCTCCCATATATGGAAGTGGGCGGAGCTTCCTCCCATATAAAGACTGGGAAGGGGGGGGCGTGTCCTCCTTCTTCCATATAAGTCAATGGGGTTGGGGGGGGGGGGGGGGGCGTGTCCTCCTCCTCCTTCCATATAAGGCAGTGGGGTTGTGTGGGGGGCGTGTCCTCCTCCTCCCATATAAGTCAATGGGGTTGTGTGGGGGGCGTGCCCTCCTCCTTCCATATAAGGCAGTGGGGTTGTGTGGGGGGCGTGTCCTCCTCCTGCCATATAAGTCAATGGGGTTGTGTGGGGGGCGTGTCCTCCTCCTCCCATATAAGGCAGTGGGGTTGTGTGGGGGGCGTGTCCTCCTCCTCCTCCCATATAAGTCAATGGGGTTGTGTAGGGGGCGTGTCCTCCTCCTCCCATATAAGGCAGTGGGGTTGTGTGGGGGGCGTGTCCTCCTCCTTCCATATAAGTCAATGGGGTTGGGGTGGGGGGGGGGCGTGTCCTCCTCCTCCTCCCATATAAGGCAGTGGGGTTGTGTGGGGGGCGTGTCCTCCTCCTCCCATATAAGTCAATGGGGTTGTGTGGGGGGCGTGTCCTCCTCCTCCCATATAAGTCAATGGGGTTGTGTGGGGGGGGCGTGTCCTCCTCCTCCTCCTCCTCCTCCCATATAAGTCAATGGGGTTGTGTGGGGGGGGCGTGTCCTCCTCCTCCTCCCATATAAGGCAGTGGGGTTGTGTGGGGGGCGTGTCCTCCTCCTCCCATATAAGTCAATGGGGTTGTGTGGGGGGCGTGTCCTCCTCCTCCCATATAAGTCAATGGGGTTGTGTGGGGGGGCGTGTCCTCCTCCTCCCATATAAGGCAGTGGGGTTGTGTGGGGGGGCGTGTCCTCCTCCTCCTCCTCCCATATAAGGCAATGGGGTCGTGGGGGGGGGGGGGGGGGGGGGCGTGTCCTCCTCCTCCTCCCATATAAGGCAGTGGGGTCGTGTGTGGGGGCGTGTCCTCGTCCTCCTCCTCCTCCCATATAAGGCAATGGGGTCGTGGGGGGGGGGGGGGCGTGTCCTCCTCCTCCTTCCATATAAGTCAATGGGGTTGGGAGGGGGGGGGCATGTCCTCCTCCTCCTCCCATATAAGGCAGTGAAGGGTGGGGGGGGGGCGTGTCCTCCTTCCATATAAGTCAATGGGGTTGGGGTGGGGGGGAGCGTGTCCTCCTCCTCCTCCCATATAAGTCCATGGGGTTGGGGGGGGGGGGCGTGTCCTCCTCCTTCCATATAAGGCAGTGGGGTTGTGTGGGGGGGCGTGTCCTCCTCCTCCTCCCATATAAGTCAATGGGGTTGTGTGGGGGGCATGTCCTCCTCCTCCCATATAAGGCAGTGAAGGGTGGGGGGGGGGCGTGTCCTCCTCCTCCTCCTCCTCCCATATAAGGCAATGGGGTTGTGTGGGGGGCATGTCCTCCTCCTCCCATATAAGGCAGTGAAGGGTGGGGGGGGGCGTGTCCTCCTCCTCCTCCTCCTCCCATATAAGGCAATGGGCGGCGCTAGACGCGCGGCAGCAGCGAGCGCTGGCAGCGGAGCAGGCGCTTGGGCGCCCCCTTGCGGCGCCACAGCAGCACCGCAGCCGCCAACGCCAGCGCCGCCCCCCCCAGGAGGACCAATGGCGGCGCCAGGGCGGAAGGGGCGGGGCCCACCTCGATGACGATGACGTCGTCATCTCCGACGTCATCGGGAGCGGATGGATCCGATTGGTCGGGTCCTTCGCAAGCCAACCAATCGCGGAGGGCGGATTTGGGGTAGCCCGGAGCTACGCGGAGGAGGCGGTTGTCGAAGAGCCAATAGCGGCCGGCCTTGTAGAAGTAGGTGACGGCTATGGGGGTAATGGGGTTCAATGGGGTTAGAATGGGGTTCAATGGGGGTCAATGGGGTTTAATGGGGTTTAATGGGGTTCAATGGGGTTCAATGGAGTTATAATGGGTTATAATGGGGTTATAATGGGGTTCAATGGGGTTCAATGGGTTTATAATGGGGTTAGAATGGGGTTATAATGGGGTTCAATGGGGTTAGAATGGGGTTCAATGGGGTTAGAATGGGGTTCAATGGGGTTAGAATGGGGTTTAATGGGGTTCAATGGGGTTAGAATGGGGTTCAATGGGGTTATAATGGGGTTTAATGGGGTTTAATGGGGTTATAATGGGGTTATAATGGGGTTTTAATGGGGTTTAATGGGGTTCAATGGGGTTTATTGGGGTTATAATGGGGGTCAATGGGGTTATAATGGGGTTCTATGGGGTTATAATGGGGTTCAATGGGGTTTAATGGGGTTCAATGGGGTTTAATGGGGTTATAATGGGGTTTAATGGGGTT